GGTGTAAATCCTTACGGGAGTAGAAAGCCTCATCTTTCTCCCGCGGAGCAGCTGGTAGTTTCGAACTGCTGACCTTAAGGTTCGCAGCCCGATTCGTAACCACTACGCTACCAGAGCTCCTTATAGTATATACTAGGGAACTTAAATAAGTCCATGGGCAAATGGAATTAAAAGATAATGGAGTATTTCCATGAACTTTTTGAAGCCCTCTCATAAGATGTACCTAAAAATCAACAACAAATGGACAGTCTTAAGTGTGGTTCACTGTAACTCAAATGCATACATTGTAAGTTAGGGATGACCTATACGGCCAAATCACCCCAAGAAACCAATACTGACCTTTCAAGTACTTATCTTGCAGTCTTATCCTATCACTATATGTAGCAATAGATAATAACTTCCATCTTTTTTTTTTTTTTAAAGTTTGATAGTTTGAGTTTTTTTTTTTTTTTTCCTTTTCTCATTCTCTCAGAGAGACATTTCAGGATATATTTAAGCCTGTTGAGCACTGAAAAGGAGTTTTTGGAATTATTTGCAATGGTGTGTCTATATAAAGAATGACTTGTACATCACTTAACAACAAACTTGTTCTCGTTACATGCCACCAAGTTGGTTCCGACTCATAACAGCCCTGTAAGGGGTTTCCAAGGAGTGGCTGGTGGGTGTGAACGGCCAACCATGTGGCTAGCAGTAGTGTTAATGTATAATGCCACACCAGGATTCCTTATCACACTTAAATATACCTAAAACTTTTTCTACTTCCCATCTTCTCATACTCAGATAATGACATTAAAAGTATCCTACACGAATATCAGCATCATCTTTTTTCTCCTCAACTTTTTCTCTTCTACACATAATTTGGCTAATCAGTTCATTGTGACTGTTGTTCTTGTTACGTGCTGTTGACTTGGTTCCAACTCTTAGTCACTTCTGACTCTGTACAGGGTTTCCAAAAAGTTGTTGGTGGGTTTGAATGACTGACCTTTCGATTAGCAGTCCAGTGCTTATCTTACAGTGCCACACCAGAACTCAACCCATCAAACATAACTATGAACCACTTCTTGCTTTCCAATCCTACTGCCATTGCCCTTGAATAAGTTCAGACTGTCTCTTCCCCAGGCTACTACAATAGCAATCAACTAGTACCCCTGCATCTGGCCTTTTTAGTGACTTCTGTTCCTTTTGTTCATGTAAATGTTCATGTTATTTGGAGTTCTGCTTTATACCATCTAACCTTCTCATTCTGAATGTACTCCCCCCATCTCCCGCCCCCGGAATAATTAATTAATCCTGTGGTTTCAGTGCCTTTAGTATGACAATCCTCCAATTTTAATCTCTAGCCTAAAATTTCAAGGTTTCAAACCTGTAGTTACATCTACTGAAAGAATATCTGTAATTTGAGGTCCCCAAAGAACCTCATCTAACCACCTCAAACATACTCAACTTTGTGGTCCTTAAGAAAATAATGCCTCTATCTGTCCAGGTTAGAGCCAGAAACCAGGGTGGTATTTTGGCTTTGTTTACTCTCATCCACTGCATGTATCTCTGTGATTCCAATCTGTTCATATCTCACCATACCCACTGCCATCACTAAATCTCACTTGGGTTATAGTAACAGCTTTCTAAGTAGTCTCTCCATCCCTAGACTTGCTCCTCTGCATTCCTGGCTGTAGTTGGGGTGATGGTCCTAGAAATGCAAACATGAGCATTCCAGTCTCTTGCTTAAAATCCATCAATAGCTATTACTGCCCTCAAGATCAAGTTTACACTCTTAACTAACCTACAAGGCCCCTTAAGCTCCCTCTTGAGTCTCATCTCCAGCCACTCTCCCTTTGGGTAATTAAGCTTAGGACTTTCTTTCCCTTCTGAGTTTACATTCGTATTTCTCCCCTATTCTGGGAATGTTCTTCCTCAGTCTCATTCCCTCGTTAACTCATCTTTCGATACCAATTAGGATTTTATTGACTGCTTTGGTACTACTTCCCTGACTCTGTCTCTCTCAAGCCTTCAGGTTTGCTTTAAGAGCACCCTTTATTTATTCATTTAAAATAGCCATGTTCTCTACATACTGTAATTGCCTTCTCTCTTCCTCATTCACCACATCCTAAGTTTTCGAGGGCAGGGATTTTCTTTATAGAGCTGTATTATAGGTGCTTAACAAAGTCAGAATCCACTCTACAGCATAGATTCAGGTCATTGATCTTCTTAAATATCTCTTATGGCTACCAAATGCCTACTGAATAAAGATTTGATTTCTTGACAGAGCATATATAAGGCCTTTCTCAAAACGCTCCAGTGTCTCTTTCCAATTTCATTTCCAGGAACTCCTGTCTCCCCTTCCCACCACCCTCTACACAGATTCACTCTCAACAACTCTGGCATCATTTGTATATATTGATGCTCCTACAGTTTTGTTTTTATTTTTCTCACTTTCTGGAATGTCACTCCTCTGCTTGTGTGCTAGACAACTTTTTTGAAGGAGGACTTAAAGGCTTTCCCCTCTGGTCATCACAAAGCTTTACACTTTGGTCTCCTACAGCATATATCTCTCAATATTGCAGATATTTGTTTTAAGTCCTGCTTCATGGGCTAGAAAACAAGTTTCAAGAGGAATAAAGTATATCTATTCATCTTCGAAAGGAGCTCTGGTAGCGTAGTGGTTACGAATCGGGTTGCTAACCTCACTCACGGTTGGCAGCTCGAAATTACCAGCTGTTCCGTGAAAGATGAGGCGTTCTGCTCCGGTAAAGATTTATAGCCTCGGAAACCCTGTTCAGGGTCACTATGAGTTGGAACCGACTGCATGATACTTAACAACAGCAACAAAACAACATTCATCCTTTATGCCTACCACCATGGCTGTATCTGTACTACTCAAATATTTATCACAGTGGAATACTTAAAAGTTAACTCTATTTCACCTACTCTTATCAGGTTTTGAAACAGAAGGCAGGAAAGAGGAGAATGGTTCATTCTACAAAATGTGAAAATGAAAATATATGGATTTTTACATCTTTGATGAAACCTGAAATTAAAGAATTTAGCTTCTTCCTCACCCCTTCCCTTCTTTTAAAAACTGTTTATGTTTTAAAAGAACTTCTACAAAATCTCAAGTAAATAAGCCCTTTTGATTTACTCCCTATTCCAACCCATCCTTAGCAAGAGAAATAAGAGCATGAGGAAAAAATATAAGTGGGCTAGAAATAGTTCATGAATAATGATTAACTTTTATTTCTACTTTTATGAACTTCTGGGGTATGGCGCTGTAGGATCAGCACTGGACTGCAAACCACAAGGTTCAAACCCACCAGCTGCTCCTCAGAAACTCTATATAGGGTTGTTATGTGTTGGCACTTAACAATGAACTTTAAAAAGTAACTTTAATGGTAGAAGTCTAGACTGCCTTGATTTGAATGCCAGTCTGTCATTTTCAGTCTCTGTTTAAATTGTTAACCTATCATTTGTTAATCGCTGTACAGGTGGTGAAATCTCAAGAATTATAATCTGTTCCTAGATTATAAGGGTCTCTAAACAGAATGTGAATGCTAAGAAAACTTTTGAATATTCAAGAACAGCTGAGCATTAAATATAGAATAGTTAAGCAAATAAGCATGTCCTAAAGGATTTAATGGGGAGTGCGATGGCTCTGTACGACAAGTATGGGACTGCGAGCCACAAGGTTAGAGGCTGGAGTCCACCAGCTTCTCTGGGGAGCAAGATGAGGCTTTCTGCTCCTGTAAAGATTTAAGCCTCAGAAAATCTATACAGGGTTGCTGAGTCAGAACCGACTCCAAGGCACTTATAATAACAACAACAACAATAAAGGACTTTATGTTCCAAAGCTGGACTAGGTTCTAATTCACATCTTTTAGCAATACTTTGGAAATTTATTTCTTAATTTTCACACATATTAGTACAATGATCTAGCCTGCAATAATGCTGTGATTTAACTACAATTATCAATGACTTTGGAGTCCTGGTGTAGCGCTGTGGGTTAAGGCACTGGACTGTAATGTTGGTTTGAACCACAAGGTCGGTGGTTTAAGTTCACGAGACACTCCTCAGAAATCCTCTACAGGGTCGTTATGAGTTGGAACTGAATCGACGGCACTTAACAACAACATCAATGATTTTGAAAACAAAAAAACACTAGTGACAAAGTAGCTTATATGTACCTATATATTTAATTCAATAATAATACAGTATACTGCACTACCTCCTGTAATGTTTGCTGACTCTAGGTTCATAACCACCTAGGTTCTTCTTAATTTTCTCAAAGGTTTTCACAAAATTAATCAAACATTAAAAAATGAACTTCAGAATCTATGTTGGATGGGGTTAGGAGACTAGCAGATTTAAGATGTGGGTGCGATAAAGTTAAAAAGTGTTAAATTCATGCTACTGTTGTTATCTTCCCCTTGCTGAAATAAATAATCTTGTTGAAATTTTAAAACACTAACATGCGTATTTGACAACCTGATCTAAAAACAGTATCATATAGTATTAATAAAAAATTTTAGATTAAAAGCCACAAAGATGATTCTCCATAAATATTTTTGTATGGCCCATGATTCTTGGTAAATGAATAGGTTATGATTTAGCTACATTTTGAAAGTACAGCCAAATCTTGATTATCTTTAGTCTGGGAGATCCGGATAGTGTGAATAGTTAACATCCATGTCTTTTCCTGAACCTCCTCTCTGTACTCTTCTTCCACTAACTCTTTACCATTTTAAACTTAATGGTCTAATTTACATTTCAACTTTCTAAGTTAAGCAATGAAGTGACAGAGTAAATAAAAATGTAAAAATATAAAATAAAAAAAAAACCATGAAGGGTCAAAGTGTGAACAAGATAACCATTCTCTGAATAATCAAGAGTTGGCTGCACAGCATTATGTTTATCTTATAAATTAAAATAGCCTCATCGTCTTATCTCTAAATAAAGTCAAACAGGAGTTCCTAGGCCTTAACATTCCTAGTCGGAATTTCTCTGAGTACCTGAAAGAACCCTGGTGGTACAGGACCTACTGGCATGCCATCTCCTGGGGGAATGTTTCCTAGCACTGGGCTGGGAGCTGCTGCAGCACTCTGCAAAGAATAAAGGAGAAACAAACCTATATCATTACAGAGAAGGCACAAAACCAAAGACTAATGATAACAGACTACAGGAAGGGACTTTTTTGGTAGTGTTCCTCACTCCAAAGGTAAACTTAGATCCAAAATTAGCTTATTATAAGACCAGTTAAGTTAGTTCGTTTAAGCAGATCTTTATAAAAACTTTTTGACGTTTTAGAATTTGAATAAAACAGTAGGTTAGAGGATTATATATATGTGTGTCAATCAAATGCAAATAGCACTTTGATAAAAACTTGAGTAAATGCATTATTTTAAGGCTCAGGTATATGAAACGGCAAATCAATAATAGAAAAAGATAAATACTAAGGTAATAAGTTTGAAGACAGTGATTGAAGGAGTTAGAAAAAGAACTTTTTTTTTCAGATTATGCTTTTTATATCATGAAAAAGGTATTGTTGTTTGTCTTCAGATGGCAACACACATTATTTTCTGACATACTATAATTGGTAGCAAAAGTATAGCTTATAGGGTTATAAGGGTGAAAAAGTAGTTAGGAATTGAATAACAGAAAGGAATTACTTGGGATAGATTAGTTTCAGATATACAAATAATGGGGGGGGGAAAGTAAGATGGAAAAAGAAAAATCCAGTCCACATTACTTGCAAATTACTTTATGGAATCCAAGACTTCATGAAATAGGAGTATGGAAAATCATGGGTTAGAATCATTGTAATCAAATCAAGGTTATAGTTTTAATACTTAGGCAGAGCAGTTATACATCTAACTAGTCCATGACCATGTATTTCATTTCTCAACATGGTTAAACAGATTATAAATACTAGGAACAGTCAAGAAGAAATCAAATATATACTGAAGACAGGTGATCATGAATCCAATACTTCTGTAGTGAAAGTAACACAAAACAAATTCAGGACCTAGACAGCACATTTGTGGCATTGTCCTCGTATACATATTACAGTATATTAATTCACACATTAAAATCCCCTTAGAAGAATGATATAATAGCTCAGTGTATTTGTAGCATACATTTCCTGGTATGTAAATTGATAAAAATACTAAACATGTTTATTCCTTAGTACTGGCAGTTTTTAATAATGAAAGTCAATGATTTTAGTATTCCCTTAAAGGGAATCTTGATTTAAACATGGTTATCTGCAATGTTGCTTATTTATGAATGCTAAAATTACAAATGTACTCTAATAAAGCATATAAGTAAAAAAGGTGAAATAGTATTTCTAAGACACTAAGATGAAACATTAATAGGTTCTTTTAAGTAAAAGCATGCAATTTCATTCAATATACATTAACTGCTTACCATTTTCTAGATATTATTTTATCTAGCTTCATATATCAAGACACATGATTCCTTTATAACCATTGAAAATTAAACTTAAAAAAATTTTTTGAAACACAATGTTACAATGTGAGGCCAAATTACCACTGGTCACCTGTCCTCTATTAGTTTCAATATATATGATTACAGGAGCATTTGCAGTATAGTGGTTAAGTGTTTGGCTGCTAACCTAAAGATTGGCAGTTTGAACCCACTAGCTGCACTGCAAAAGGAAGTTGTGGCAGTCTGCTTCCCTAAATATTTACAACGTTGGACACCCTAAGTGGCATTTCTACTCTGTCCTATAGGATAGATATGAGTTGGAATTGACTTGACTGCAATGGGCTTTATATATGTTATCAAAACCCACTGCCATCAATCAATTCTAACTCCTAACGACCCTACAGAACAGAGTAGAACTGTCCATATGGGTTCCCTATAGAGGTACTTTAAGTAGGGATGGACTCCATTGTACACAGCAACACTGTTTAAAGTTATAACATATACTAGGACTTTTAAAATCAAAAGGTCTTCATTATATACGTTTGCTACATTTTTTCCCTGCTATTACGTAAATGTGAAACAAAATAAATGATTCATAACAAGATCTGAATTTTCATGTCATAATTTCCAAATGATTTAATAAATTCAATATATTTTTTTTATTGCTAAGGGCTACTTTAAGATTTGAGCTACAACACAGTGAGAAAAAAAATCTTTGCTCTCATGAAACTTACATGAAGTATGACAATGAACAAAACAAAGCAAATATCTACTATGTCAGTGATAGGAGCCTTGTGCCCTAGGACACAAAGAGAAGTGAATAGAATAGTGTTATCTAGTTCGTTAACCCATTACAGACGGTTAACCCAGATCATTCAGGTTCACACTCCAATGTGTGAATATTTTTGATTGAAATTTCTGTTGTGATTTATTGAAAAGGATAATTCCCTCCTCTACTCCACAGCACATAACCACCACCACCATTACACTTTGAGAACTCAAGCTTAGAATATAATTTGGTACACTGTTAGTCATTAACAAGCACTGGACTGCAAGGTTGGCTTGAACCACAATGTTGGCAGTTCAAACTCACCAGCCACTCCTTGGAAATCCTATACAGGGTCACTATAAGTCAGAATCCACTCAACAACATTTAACAACAGAACAATAACAAACACTATAACGGTATATGCTAATCATTATTAATGAGAATATTTTTCAAACTGTCTAACTTGCTACTTTATATATAGTTGTTGTAAGTGTTGTCGAGTCAGTTCTGACTCATAGCAACCCTGTATAAGGTTTCTGAGGCATGGTTGGTGGGTTTGAGCTGCTGATCTAGTGCTTATCCTACAGTAATAAACAGCAGTAAGATAAATAATAAGTGGTTTGAAATTTTAAGTATGAATCAAGTTTTTTAGATACAAGCTTTATATAGAAGAAAAGACATCCCTAATTTCTTGGTTCTGTTGCTAGATCTCTGAGACTTACCTCAAATTAATTCCAAATTATGAAATAAATTTATCTCATGAGCTAAGATTCTATAAAAAAGTTGATGTCCCTAATTTATAAAGTATGCATTATTTGGGAATGTTGTGACTAAGTCACAAAAGGAGAAAAAAATGCTTAATATTACCAAGCTTTAGTTTCATGTGATTTAATGTGTACCAAGGAAAATCTTTTCTTATGTAAAGTCCATGGTTCTTTACTATTTATCTCTCTTAATAATAAGGATTACTCAACATAAAGAAAACAAACAAAATTTAAAATAAACAAATGTCATGATAAACAGAAAAAAAGATTGAAGTTGTCAAGGATTTCACTTTACTTGAATCCAAAATCAGCCCCAATGGAAGCAACAGCCAAGAAATTAAAGGATATAGCGCACTGGAAAAACCTGGTACAAAAGATCTCCTTAAAGTACAAAGATGTCACTTTGAAGACTAAGGTGTGCCTGATCAAAGACAGGGCATTTTCAATCGCCTCATATATTTGCAAAAGCGGGACAATGAATGAAAAAGACTGAAGAAGAATTAGCTGATGTCTTTGAATTATAGTGTTGGCAAGGAATATTATACTATGGACTGCCAGAAGAACAAACAAATCTGTGTTGGAAGAAGTACAGTCAGAATGCTCCTTGGAAGCAAGGATCACAAGACTTTGTCTCACGTCCTCCGGACATGACATCAGGAGGGACCAGTCCCTAGAGAATATTATGCTTAAAAAGGTAAAATGCGAAAAGTAGACGACCTTCAAGGAGATGGATTGGCATAGGGCCTGCAAGAGTGGGCTCAAACATAGCAATGACTGTGGGATGACACAGGATCAGGGTTCCTTCTGTTACACGTAGGGTTGCTGTGAGTCAGAACCAAATAAAAGATACTTAACAACAACAGCAACAACTTACTAAAGAAAAACACATATAGTATGACTTTATAATATTTCCTCAAATAACAGTGATGGCATAAAACCAGTGCCCCTATAAACATGTTATTGTTGTGTAAGTGTTTTGTCTCTTTTATTGATTAATTTGTATTACTTATATATATAAGAAAGACTGTAAAAGGACTGATGCATTTACAGTGTTGGAAAAAATATGAAAGGTACCCTGGACTGCCAGAAGAACTAACCAATCTGTGTTGGAAGAAGTACAATCAGATACTCCTTAGATCCAAGATGGCCAGGCTTTGTCTCTCATACTATGGACATATTATAAGGAGGGACCAGTCCCTGGAGAAGGACTGGTAAAGTGGAGGGTCAGCAAAAAGGAGGGAGACCCACAACAAGATGGACTGGCACAGTGACAGCAACAACGGGCTCAAGCATAGCAACAATTGTGAGGATGGTGGTGTGCTTCGTTCTGTTGTATGTAAGGTTGCCATGGGTCGGAACTGATCTAACAGCACCTAACAACAACAAACTTTTATGTACTCTCAAATATGTATTTTTCTAACTACTCTTAAATAATTTCATTGGTATTTATTGTGTCAATTGACTTAAATGTCAACTTTTTTTCTGTGATGACTACACTTTTTTTTTTTAATAAATCTATTAGTGTTTTAACATTAACTACATTATGGAAAAATTATTTGTTTTCCCAAAAGACTATTAAGGTGAACTTTTAAGAATCACAAGATCTTTCTTTGTACTCTTATCTTTTTCTTCTTTCCTTTTAAGGCTGTGTGGTCATTTTCGTCTCTGGGACTTTTTGTAATTGCATCATTCTAGCCTCTAAGACTGAATTAGTCAATCTGTGTTTTACTATTTTTGTATTATTCATTTTTCCTTTATACAGATGTCCAGCGTAGTTTCTCATTCCCCTTCTTTACTGCTAGTAATACAGAAATACATAAATTTTATTTTATTATTTTTAATGCCTTTTCTAAATTTAATGAACAGCAAACTATACTATTATTTCAGATTTTCTCCCCTCAAAGAAAAATCTGAAATAAAATTCAGAAGACTTCTTATTTTCACCTAAATTGTTATTATTGATGGTCTCATAGGAAAAAAAAAACAAAACACAAACCTCTGTATGTTAGTGACAAAACAATCAATTTACAGTAAAATTTTGTTTAGAAGTAAACTTAACATGCAACTGTTTACATTCATCAAGATTGTACATATTTAATAATAGTTTTCTTTATCAAGGATA